GGAGGGTGGGTCTGTGGCCCCTACTAACCCTGTGTCCAGCCTGCTTCCCGCCAGACCCAGACCCTGGTCTGCTCACCGTGGGACGCTGGGACGGTTAGATGGGACATCAGAACTCTTAGGCTGGGCTTTGAACTCAATCTCTCATTTCTATTGTTAACCCAGTGCTACAGCAGGTGGGAAGTTGGCAATGACCCCCCTGGGCTCCTGGGGTGTCACCCGCCCCCAGCAACCGCAGCCACTTTGAAACGTCTAAATAACAGACGTGTTGTGTCTGCTACATCTCCTGGTTAATTACTGGGAGAAGGGGCCGCGGGACCTTTCAGACTGCCGGTGGCCTGAGCCACGTGCATTAGGTGCGGGGGCCCCGGAAGGCTTGCATTGCCCGTGTGACGTGTTGGAGATCTCGGCAGCTCACAGGTTTGCTTCGGTGTCTTCCTCTTTCACCCACTGATGGCGCTGCCACTCCTCTGCCGGTCTGTGCGCCCCACCTGGAGTCATTGGAACACGAGCGTGAAGCTGCTGGTAACAGTGATTTGAGTCTTCTGGCAACCCCCAGGGAAGCTCCTGCTGGCTTTGAAATCCGCCTTTGCTTGTGGGAGACTGGTAGATGGCTGCCCTGCTCTAGGCGGGCCCCAGACGATTCTCCATGCAGCGAGAATCGAGTGGTCACATTCAGGCTCGGTGCAAGCTAGTGCCACTGGGGTGTGAATATGGCCCCTGGGTCTCCAGAATACGAGTATTGTGTATTTAGATTAGATTAGCACCCCGGGGCGCTCTACGTGCGCACGGTGAGAGCCAGCCCTGCCCCCGGGAGCTCACCAGCCTGAGTAGACAATACCGGGAGGGGAGGGGAGGGGAAAGAGGCGCTTTGTCTGACTTGCTCAAGGTCACCCGGCAGAGCCAGGTCTCCGTACTCCCGGCCCAGTGCCCTCTTCTCTAGACCGCACTGCCTCTCCTAAAACAACCCCTGAGGAATCGAAGAGCTCCACCTGGGGCTGAGACAGCCTTTGCGCCTCCTGCCGGCTCTGAAAGACCTCAGTGTAAACGTGCTAATGGTGAAGGGGAGCAGCTGGACATCCCTGCAGGGCCAGCCCCCTTGCGTGCACTTCAGCACGGCCCCCCAGCATACTCCCCCTGACCCGAGGGTGACGACAAAGGAGTTCAGTCTCCAGGGTCCATTCAGTCTGACCCCTCTGCTGAAATAGACCAAAAACCTTTGAGATCCCACGGTGGCTTGTGTGACATAGACGTCGGTTCCTCTAGGGGCGGGTCTAACTGAGACCCCCTCCTGGTCTCCACCTGGCCATCACGTGGTAGTGAGGTGGGGTCTCATTCAGCCACTACCAACCTGGGTCAGCTTCAAGGGGAGTAAAGACCGGTACGCCTCAGCATGTACCCTGTAGAGCACGGTGCGTCCTGACAGGAGTCGGGAATCGGCTCCAGAGCCTGGTAATTCTCAGCCGGATGCCCGAGAGGAAACTTCCCTTTCGCAATATGAGGGTGAAAAAGCTTGCACCAAGGCTGGAGGTTGCTGGTTTTGTAACTCACTCCGAGGCCAGCGCTGTGGTTGGATGACCCTTGTGTCTCTCAGGAGAAGGCCGGCAGCTACCTAAGCCTGAAAGGGTTTAGTTTATGAATGACTCAGTAGCAACCATCATTTTCTGCCTTCTTGTGTGTGTGGAGATTTTAAACACCTAATTTATTCCATCTATTAGATAGATTTTGTAGATTTAATCATTTTCACAGTTGGTGGCTCATTGGATACTCAAGATAAACTCCAAATGAAAGTATAATGGGTAGGACAAATGAGTTTTCACACCAGAATGGCAGAAACTTGCTTGGGAAAGAGTTTGAGAGGAACAAAAATATATACATAGATAATTTTTTTTTTCCTGCAGTGGCTTTTGCTGACTATAGTAGGTTACCACAGTTAATTTCACCAGTTTTGTTCATCTGTAAAATTGCATAAAAGTGACATTTTTGTGCTCATTATAGGAAGTGCTGATTTATAGCTAGTAAATGGAATGCTTTTCCATTTTTGGTGAGGTTCTCGTAGCAGCGCAAAGCACCCATGAAATTGCTTGTATAATGTAGTTTAAATCCAATCTCAGAGAAAGATCCCCCCGTTGGGTAAAGTGACATTTCCATTCTCCACACTGAGTTTATTTTAGGCCACTTAGAAGTGACTTTATGGGAGAAAGGGGGCAGGTTTGCGCTGTGACCTCATTTCTGCCGGGCTGAGGTCCAAAGAGCACTCGCTGGGGATTGCTTGCGAGACACTCCCTGGAGCCTGCCGCTGGGTGGAGGGTTCGTGCAAGTTTTTCTAAAATTGACCCAGAAGAACTTTCGAGTGAGGAGCCCCAAATTGTCCAAGAAGAAGAGACGACTGAGTGTGAAATGATCAGGCGGTAAGACGAGCCGAGGCGAGCGCAGTGGGCGACAGGCAATGCGTTCCCGAATAACTGAATAAAACCTCACTAGTCAGGCGCAGTGGGGGACTGCCAGGGGACAGGAGAGAGGCCCAGGCATGAATATGTGCAATTAACATGCAGGGATGGAAACCGCTGCCTCCCCAGTCCCGTGGAACCTCATTCATCTGCCTGTCGTGGGCGGTTCTGCTGCGCCGAGCATGCTGGGATCTAGAGGCCAGATGCAGCTGGGGCTTGTTCCCCCAGCACGCTATCATTTACCATTCCCCGGTTACGTCCCTGTGGGCCACTTGTATTTCCTCTGGACTCCAAATTCTGCCCTGGTGCGGGGGCTGCAGCTCTACCCAAGCCAATGCTGAGCCAGGAAGATGGTGATAGGGAAGTACAGGGCGAAGCCCCCAGCTGCTGGCGTGGGAAATTCGGGCTGTGCGTGTCTTCTCCCTGCAGAGGTGGGAGCCTTTGCTGCTGGGGTGCTGCTATTGGCAGGGGCCATCGGACCCCCCCAAAACACAAGGCCCCGAGTGGTTGGTTGGGGATGGGGGTCAGGGACCCTGTTAATCTGAGGCCTCTGTCCTGGGCAGCCTTGCTAGATGCAGGGCGGCCCCGGGGGTCACAGTGCATTCTCTTTCCCATGCGGGGAGCAACCAGGGCCCCTGCTGTGGGCCCGAGGCCTGTTCACCGTCCCGCGCTCAGTTCAGCTGCGGCTTGTCCCTGTGGAGCGCACCGTCGCGTTTCCAGCTGCTGGTGGCTTGGAAGCTGCCAGGCTGGCTGATGGCACACCTGCGGCTGGGTCACCCATGCCAAAGAGGTGCTCCTGGCTGAGGGCCAGCAGCCTGAACAAGGCCCCAGTGCAGCGGAATGGCTGCGGGTAGCCATGGCCCCCAACCTGCAGCCCAGAGGAACGACGGCTCCCAGTGTGCAGTGCCCCATTTATATCTGGCGGCTGCCTGGCCTGTCACAAGCTTATGGCATCCGTGGGCTGCGTTAGGCCACTCCTGAGCCACTCCAGGTAGGGTGAGGCAAGGAGCCTAGTGAATGCAGCTGAGTCTGGGGCGAGGGGGCTTGTGGAGGTACCTGCCTTTACTTCCCCTCTGCTGCTGACTGAGCAGCAGGTGGGCACCGCATGGCAGCCGGCTGTGCCGTTCCGGAGCTCTCTTATCACCCCACTGCCGCACCTCCCTTTAGCCTCCGCCCAGCCGCCCGAGAAGGACACGGCTTCCTTTGGGGTTTCACTCAATCAAGAGCCTGATGAGGAGACCCCCCGGCCCCCAGCACCAGGCCCAGAGCTCTTTGGAAAAGCAGTCGGCTCCGAGATTGAGAGAATTTCTTTTTGTTTCTCTCCAAAGCAGCTTCCCCTTAACGCTCTCGCTACGGAGCCGGCCCCAAAGAGCCAGTTCAGAGGGGCCAGCGGTGCCCCGTCAGCCTAGAGCTGCTCACACGTGTTCGGCCTATTTGCCACATGACTGGCTTAATGGCTGTAATCTTGTCTTCCCCGGCTTTATGGCCCGAGCCCGTGGATGGCAGATAACAGATCCCTGATCAAATTGCAGCTTTGCCTTGTTAACTTACTTTGAAAATGTCCATTTTCCCATTTGGAGTCATCTCTTCCGTGCCGGGAAGGAGGAGGGAGGAGCTGCTGGCTCTGGGGGCTGCATAGTGCCGGGCTGGTTCTGGGTCCCCGGGCCGACCCTCTGCTGTGGGGGGGAGGGGATTGCTGCCCACTCCCACGCTCTGCATTTCTTGGCTGGCAGGACCTAAGCCCAGCTCAGGTGGCTCCATGACAGAGGCATTGCCCCTGGGCGGGAACTCGGCACCTGAATCTGCTCTCGCATCTCCTGCCTGAGCATGACCCATGCTGTAGAGATGCCACTGGGGGGAAGCTACTGGGGCAGGGGGGTCTCTGGGCGCATGTGGGTGGGGAGAAGGTGGTGAGATGTTGGACGTTTGGGGGTGGGCAGGTGAGTCTATATAAAGGGTGGGATTGTGGGGGATGATGTGGGGCTGTTAATGTATGAATGTGTGTCTCTGTGGAGAGGGGTCTGTGCACTGTGTGCGCAAGGATTAATGTGTGCGTGTGTGTGTCGGGAAGTGTAGGTGTGGCTGTTGCTGTGTGCGTGCAACTTACTGTGTACACGTGGCAGAGGGGATGTGTGCACACGCACATTGCAGGGGGGTGGGGTATGTGCATCTGGCAGGTTGTGTGTGTGTGTGCACGTTGCAGGGGGATTTTGTGTGTGTGCACCCACGTGGTGGGGATGTGAATATGATGGTTTGTGCATGCATGTGGCAGGGGGGTTGTGTGTGTGTGCGTGTGCCCATGTGGCAGTGGGTGTGTGCGCGCACACACATTGCGGGGTGTGGGTGTGTGCGTGC